TACACGGCTTACCCACGAGGGCAGGCTCCGACTCAGCAATGGAACCGGGAGGCGTATGATGGTCAAGCTGGACAAGGTGCAGCCGGGGCCTAGCCTGTCGAACATAGCATCCTACGTGGATCCCTGGCTTGCACCTGGTCAAGCCTGGTGTGATCCTTGGCAACAACCCTGGCGGCACAGCCCCCATTCGTCGGCAGACGCTGCACGTGGACATGCAGCCTGGCAGAGGGATGTCGTTTGTTGCAATCGTGCCATTGGAGCAGGACATCGAGCTGTGGGTGAGCCCAGGGAGCCACCACACTGTGCAGGCGTTTGCTGCTCGGGCAGAGCCTGCTGCTGCAGCTGCTGCTGCAGCAGCAGATGATGCCGAAGCAGGTGATGCAAGCAGAGCCGACAGAAGCAGTGCGGCAGGTGGGGAGGCCAGCCCCCACAGCGGTCAGGGGGCGGGGCGGGGTGGCACGCCATCAGGCCTGTCCCTGGCGAACACATTGACCCTGCCGGACGAGACAGCCCTGAGGTTCGTGTCACACCTCCCGAGTCACCCAGTCATGAGGATGCGGGGACAGCCTGGCCAGATCATTTTCCTGCATGGCAACACTGTGCATGCTGGGGCGGCTGGCAAGGCTGGCACCTGGAGCCCGCGCCTCCACTGGTATGTTCAGGGTGGTGATCTGGAAAATGAGACATACAGCCTGGCTTATGTCCACAAGGAGCTCCGTCGGCTATTCCACCTCTCCTGAGCATTGAATATGCACACGGATGCCATTCCACAGTGGCCAGGCAGATTCCATCTGTGAGCGGCCAGCTTGTAGTTTGAGTGTGAGAGGGCGGGGTTAACCCCAAACGTTTGGGGCTGGTGAGACTGGAGTTCTGGCTGTGGCTGGTGAATGACCACAAACCCGCTGAGCTGGCGGTGTTGCCACCGTGCAGCTGGCCCATGAATGGGTTGAGACGTGCTCGTGTTCTGTCTAGCCTGGGACTTGATGGTCAGACCGGCAGGGTGGCGCCCTTGTGTGTGCCACGGTGTGCTTGTGCTAGGTCTTTCCGTCAGTCCCTGTGAATCCTAAGCACAGTGTTGAGAGTGATCGAAGTGCACCATTGTTTGTCCATCAGCTCAGCCATGCAGGCACTTTATCTCACTAGATAAAAGACAGCAGAATCCATGCTCCAATAATCTGCTGACAATGGTCAGGCCGCTTGGCGCCCTTGATATAAAGAAGCAACCCGTGGAGGATGACTGGTTGGTGTACACTCTGACTTTGGTCATGTTGGGCTTCCTGGTGCTGGGCCTGGGTGGGGCTTCTCAATGAAGGTACAGCTGATGGTATGGCTGATGGATAACCGAATGAATGTTGTGCACAGGGACGTATTGGTGAAGTAATAGGTAATGGGAGTGGCACGTTACTATGCAAATCGACAGAAATTGCTTGGGGCCCGTTCCATACGTTGACTGACTAAATCCTTCGTTGGATAGTTGATTGTTGGGGCGTGTCTGCTTCACTTGTATACTGGGGCGACTTCCTGGTGCCAGCCAGTACTAGTTTTCGAAGGGCCTTACCCACGGGTCCAGAGCAGTAGGGGCCCTCATGGTCGGTCTTGTGGATGATTTCAGCACTATGAACTTATTTCAGAATACAGGACTGACTCTCTGTTTCCTGCTTGAACTATATATGGAAGGGGCAAACCGCTGTAACTTGTGCGTGTTTCTGCTAAGTTTTCCGCACTGTTGCATTCTCAAAGCCATTCTTTCGTAAAACCGTCATAAGAATGCTTGAGACTGGCATAAGATCATTCTCAGCAGCACCAGCATTCTTAAGCCGTTCTTAGCATTCTTAGCGTTCTCAGGAACGTTCTTTAGCACGCTTCCATTTTGGTAGGGGGACACAGTGATGCTAAATGGAATGTCTTCACAATATACGGCTAAAGTAATTTAGCCAAACAATTTAGTGGCTCCTGTATTTCAATTTCGATTTGTGTGTACGGTCATCGTACCTATCTATGATTAGCTCCTGCTACGAGTCTATTGCCATTTCTGTTACAGATATTGGCTGTGCTCTTACGGCCTGAACGATGAAAAGGCCGCACCGAACCAAAAGGAAAAGAAATAATGTAGTAGAGCGAAAAGGGCGGGCGACGCGGCCTCCAGGGTGGGAGGGCGGGGCGCGTGCTGAACAACAAAAACAAGATACAGAAAACCTGCAACACGCGCTATTTATGCAAAAGACGATCCTGAGGACACGGATCGCCGGCCTCAAGTCGTACCACTAAAG